GGCATTCCTGGTGGGGAGGCAGCCTGGGCACAGGCATGAGCATGAACCCCTGCCCCACTTTTTTGTTCTTTGTGGCTCTAGGGCAGGCTAGGGGGTGACGGTTAGGGCCACAGTGCCCTAACCCTGGAGTCTGGACTTTGCCCCAGGGCCACTGAAGGCCAGAGTAGGGGGTGTTAGGGTCAGATTTGTGATTTCAGGGGAGCCCTGGGATGGTGCACTGGCTGATCACCCTCCCAAACTGAGAGCTGGAGCCTCCCTCCTTCCCAGGGCATCTCACCCCCAGGAGGAAGCGCCCCTCCCCCTAGGCGTTTGTCCATTGATTTAGACACAAATGGCTGAGTTCACCTTCCTGTGGAAAACTCTGCCCTCAGCCCTTATCTGGAGGGTGGGGAGGCACCTTGTCCTTGGGTGGGACCTTCCCCCTCCACTATTTCAGGCTCTGGGGGCTGCAGGAAGCCCTAGGAGGGGTCTTCCGCTGGTGTATTTTTTTTTAATTTATTTTTATTCAACTTATTTTATTTTTGGCTGTGTTGGGTCTTCATTGCTGCGCGTGGGCTTTCTCTAGTTGCGGCGAGTGGGGGCTGCTCTTTGTTTCAGTGTGCGGGCTTCTCATTGGGGTGGCTTCTCGTTGCAGAGCACAGGCTCTAGGTGCGCGGGCTTCAGTAGTTGTGGCTCGTGGGCTCTAGAGTGCAGGCTCAGTAGTTGTGGCTCTCTGACTTTAGAGCGCAGGCTCAGTAGTTGTGGCGCACGGGCTTAGCTGCTCCATGGCATGTGGGATCTTCCCAGACCAGGGCTCGAACCTGTGTCCCCTGCATTGGCAGGCGGATTCTTAACCACTGTGCCACCAGGGAAGCCTGCCGCTGGTGTAATTTTAGAGGAATAGAGTGGGGCCCGTCTGGCAGGTCCCTCCGTGGTTGGGGCTGGCAGGGGGACAGGGACCCCATAAGGTCAGGGGAGTCCCTGAGGGCACGGTCTCTCTTTTCCCTCCCAGCCAGAGACCCGGTATTTAATCGGCTGAGCTCAGAGCATGGGAAGGAAGAGCTGGACCTCCGCTGACCTCCACAAACCAGGCTTAGCTTCCACCCATCACAGGCTGTGAGGGAGCCTGGGTGAACGATGCTTATATACAGGGCTATGCCCTGATAGGGCCTCAACAGCAGTGGGTCAGGAGAACTGGGGAGAGATGTGTGTTGTTTGCTTCACGGTGGGGGATGAAGGGGCCCACCCTCCATGCCCTGTGTGGGGAAGGGCTGAGGTGGGAGTCCAGGCCCCAAGGGCCCTTCTGGCTCTCTCAGCCTCAGTGTCCTCCTCTCCTGGGCAGGGAGGAGGGGGTAGGCAGGGAAGGACACTGATGTGGCTGGCCCCTCCCTTCCGGGGGCTGTCAGGGCTGTCAGTGGTGACTCAGCCCCGTTCAGACTGGGCTGGGGTGGCCGCAGCTGCAGTGCAGCTGATCATGACAGTGATGATGGGGGACCGCCCCGAACAGCGACGGGGCAGCCAGCGGTGCCAGGGCTGCAGGGGTGTGATAGACCCCGGGCCCTCCTCCCCCTCACAGCCAGCCCATGCCTCCACCTCCAGTTCTGGAGGCCTTTGGGGGCTGAGAGTGAGTGAGGTGACAGAGTCCTGCAGAGGGTGACCTCCTGGTACAGGATGTGGTGCCTACAAGAGGGCTTTTGGAGCTCCCTGGTTCCTGCTCCCCATTCCCCCGTGAGCTGCAGCAGGACTGTCTTATATTCTGAGGTCAGGGTCCCCTCCTTTGCCTCCTTGTCTCCCCAGCCCTGGGTCCTGGGAGCAGGGCAGGGCCTCCCAGCAGTTTCCTTCCTTCCTTTCTTGGGACGGAAACCTGGCCGGTGGGGGACACCGGGCTGGAGCCTGAGAAGAGGAGGGGGGCTCAGCCACCACCCTGCTCCTCAAAGTGACTCAGCCCTATGTCCCCACCCGTCCCTGGGGAGCCTGGGCCACAGTGGGAGGTGGATAAATGGGGTGGCAGCCTGGGCTGGCTGGAGAGCTCAGGCCACTCCAGCTGGACACTCGCCGCTTGCCGCTTCTGTCCCGCCTCCTATGGCCCGCTCTGGGAGTGCCACACCACCCTCCCCGGCCCCAGGAGCCCTTCCACGGAGCCCATCCCAGAGGCTTGTGCAGGTCAGGTGGGGTGGGGGCAGGGTGGGCAATGAGGAAACTGGTGGCCAGCTTAGTCTCTGTCCCCCAGGATTGGGAGAGGGGACACTGGGGACCCTGGTGACCCTGGTGTGAGCAAGCTGGACCCTGAGCAACAATGGGGGCCTTTTTCTGCCAGGGCTGGTGAGTCACCATCTGGGGGGTGGTACAGCCTGGCTCCAGGGGTACCCCCATGCCAGCCTCTTTGTCTGGTTAGAGGCATGTCCGGGAGACTAGGGCTTGTCCAGCTCTGTGGCTGCCTGGTAGGGAATCGGGGCTTGGAAGCTTGTGGAAGCCTGAGGGCCTAGCTGGGAGGCAACAGGAAGTGCTCTGAGCCAGGGCAGGAGCGAGGAATGTGAGCAATGCGGCCAGGCCCAGCCTGCACCCCCTCCTGACCTACTATGGTGCTGGGCCTCCCCGTGGGCCTTCCCCCTGGGTCGCCACGCTGCCAGCCTTGTCTCCCCACCGTCCCCCATTGCAGCCCCTCAACCTGAGGGGTCTAGTGCCAAGTTTGGCGCTCCTTGGACCCTGATAGTAAGGAGAGGGACTTAGGCCAGATGTTAGGAGAAACCTCTTGGCTGTGCAGTGAGAGGCAGCCGTGCTGGGTTGAGGCAGGGAGATGGCCAGTACGGTCTCGAACCAGAAGTGACTGCATTCAGCCTGGCTTCATGGCCCCAGCTGTCCCCCCCCCCCCCCCACACAGTCCAGGGTCAGTGTCTCCCCCCCCCCCCCGACAGTCCTGCTTCCCGTCTGGGGGCCTTGAGAGACCACTCACTGGAACCATTGTGGAGGGCGTGGGAAGAGGCCACAGGGCCCAGTGCCGAGGGCCGTCCTTTCACACGATGGGTCACCGCACGGGTCCATGAAGCCTGTTTGCGAGCATACGTTTGGATGTCTGGTCTCCGTGACCATGTGATGCCCTGCTGCCACCCGGGCCCACTTCCATCACCAGGTGTGCTCATGTCACACTTCCACGGCCACGCATGGCCCCGGCTAGCCTTGGGACCTGTGCTCTGACAGCCTGAACCTGAGAGGCACCTCAGAGCTGCACACCTGTACTTCCAGGTGTGTCTGGAGAGGGGCTGAGTCTATAAGTGAGCTCCTGGAGCACCCAGGGGTCTCACAGCCCCAAGTTCAGCCCAGGATGCCTGGCCGAGCCCCTGGGGGACTGAGGAGCAGCAGCCCAGTCCCTGGAATTCCTGGGGTTATGGGGCAGATGATGGCCTGCAGGGGGGGTTCCAAGGGGGCAGGCTTTGGGGGGTCGGGGAAGGGGTCATGGAGAAGGGGCACAGGCTGGTCCAGAAGAAGGTGTTCCCCAGGGGTGGGAGGGCCTAGAGACTGAGGTAAGGCACCACCCTGTGAGGAGAGACACGCTTGGTCTCACAACTGGGTGGCCACAGTCAGATTTGGGGTTTGGGGGTGAGCTCGAAGGCCTGGAGGCTGGCCCTCCCTCAGTACAGCCCCCAGCCTGGCCCAGGGTCACTGGCCACACACAGGGAGGTAGAGGGACAGGAAAAGGCCCTGGTGAGCACCCCCACCCTGTATAGTCTCATCTGCACGCGCACTTGAGCCCCAAGCGCCCAGGAAACCTGAGCTGCTGGCCGCCCGCTCCCTCCGGCCACCGCCATGTTCAACTGAGCACCGGTGGCCGCTGGCCACTCAGCGCTGTGGTCACTACCTCAGGCCCCGGCTGGGTGGGGGCCCTGGGGTCTGGCCTCTGCCTGCACGGCCCTCCCGCACCCCCAGCCCAGAACCTACTGCAGGATGCCAGAGGTAAATGGAGGCAGAGCCCTGGGGTGTTGGTGGGGGGACCCTCAGGGCACCGTGAGCCTTCCATGGAGGGCAGGGAAGATGGGAGGCAGGCCCCATCCTCGGCCCCTCACTCTGCTCCCTCACTGGGGCTCCTGCCCAGGCCCCAGCCGGTGCCTCCCAAGCCTCTGGGCCCTGTGCAGGCGGGGGCGGCTCCAGCTTGATCTGGAATGTGAAAGCAAACACAGCCGCACTGCCATCAGCCCTAGGGAGACCTTTGCGAGCATAAACAAAACAGCCGGTCCTATGGCCCTACCCTGCCAGCCCCACACTCCGGATGGGGGTTGGGCAGAGGACAGGCGGGGCCCACAGCCTTCATGGACACTGTGACGAGTGGCAGCTCATCACACTTGTCTCTCCTAGGCCCCTGGTCTGTGCTCAGCCCTAGCCTTGAGCCCGTTGATTCTCCCAACACCCCTGTAAGGCCCCTGACCCCATCACAGGTCCTAAGGCTTTGTTCAGGATCCGGAAGCTGGATCATCACAGGCAGCCTAAGCATCACCCCCCCAGCCCCTCCCCCCAACCCCGTGTTGGTCTCTGAGACCTGGGGATGCTGTCAGGTGGGGGCATGATGCCGAGTGTGGGGCTGGGGCTCCCTCCCACCACCTCCACTTCTGCCTTTGTACACTGGGGACGGGACCTCAGGGGTGGGGTCAGCGCCTCTAGGGTGGGAGGTCAGAACTGGAGCCTCACCCTGAATCCCTGTGCTTGCAGGATGTCAACGGGCCCCTGAGGGAGCTGCGCCCGAGGCTCTGCCACCTGCAGAAAGGCCCCCAGGGCTACGGGTTTAACCTGCACAGTGACAAGTCCCGGCCCGGACAGTATATCCGCTCGGTGGACCCTGGCTCTCCTGCTGCCCACTCTGGCCTCCGTGCCCAGGACCGACTCATAGAGGTACCCGCCCTGTGTGTATATGTCTGCGCCTGTGTCCTTTCTGTTTGTGACTGGGCCCGTGTCCCCTGTGTGTGTCCGTATGTTTGTCTATGCCTGTGCCTGTGCGTGTGTGTGTGTGTCTGGGCCCCGGGTCCTCACTGGGAGGAGGGAGATGCTGGGAACCTGAGCTGGTGCTCCTCTTGCTGCTGTGGCTGGTGACAGCGTTGATGAATATTTGATGCCACACCTGGCCAAGTGGCTTGGGGGGCTGGCGGGGACCTGCCCTCAGGCAGCACTGATCCCGTGCTGGCGGCGGCAGGTGAACGGGCAGAATGTGGAGGGGCTGCGCCACGCGGAGGTGGTTGCCAGTATCAAGGCACGGGAGGACGAGGCCCGGCTGCTTGTGGTGGACCCCGAAACAGATGAGCACTTCAAGCGGCTGCGGGTCACACCCACCGAGGAGCATGTGGCAGGTGGGCGGCTGCCCTGGGGCCCAGTGCTGGGGTAAAGCATTGGGGGCTGAGTGGCCAGTGACACACTGTCCCCACAGGTCCATTGCCATCACCAGTCACCAACGGGACCAGCTCGGCCCAGGTGAGAGGGTGGGAGTGGACAGGGTGAGCCCGGGAGACCACAGGGGCACCTTTGGGGGTCCCCAGACCTGACAGAGCCCCTCCGAGATTTCTGTCCTTGTGTAGCATGGTTGTGAGATCGAGCTTGGCCCTGTCACTCCCAGCCATGATGCCCCTTGGATCCGTCTTGGGTCAGCCACACTCCAGTGCCATAGGGCACTCGGGCACCTCCAGGGTGTAGTAGAGGCTCAGTGGCCACTGCCAAATAGAGGAATAAAGACAGCTCTGGCGTGTGCACGCGTGTCTGCATGTGTGCGTGTAAGCCTGTGTGTGCACAGTGGCTCCTGGGTGGGGTCCCTAAAGCCAAGCCTTACCCTTGGTTTCCCAGCTCAATGGTGGCTCCATGTGCTCGTCCCGAAGTGACCTGCCTGGCTTAGACAAGGACACTGAGGTAGCGGGTGCCTATCCACCTCTACTGCTGTTCACACACTGGGGGGCCTGAGGCCTTGGGGGCGGGCATCTGTGGAGCTGTCAGCCTGAGCTGTGAGGCCACCGCCTCTAGGAAGCCCTCCTGGGCCTGCCACCAGGTGGCCTCTGGTGTGAACTCCCTGGGAAAGGCCACCTGTCTGGGGGCCTGGGTCCAGGGCTCACTCTGGCCACCCACCCACCATGTCTGCCCCTAGGATGGCAGCACCTGGAAGCGCGACCCTTTTCAGGAGAGCGGCCTCCACCTGAGCCCCACTGCAGCCGAGGCCAAGGAGAAGGTGAGAGCCACCAGGGTCAACAAGCGGGCACCGCAGATGGACTGGAACCGGAAGCGAGAGATCTTCAGCAACTTCTGAGCCCTCCCTGCCTGTTTCCTGCTGGGCTCCTCCTGCATGGACCTTGGGCCTTGCCCCTCGGGCCCGCCCAGAGCTCCCCTCAGTGGACTGGAGGGGACATCCTTACCCCCCAAGCCGTGGTGGTCCCACCACCACCCAAGAACCAACCTGTGCCCCAGTGAGACCCCGTCCTGCCCCCCACCTGCTGGGTGCTAGGCGAGTGTGGCAGCAAGATGGGGAGAGAGAGCCCCTGAGATGTGAGATACCCAGAGAGACAGTGAGGGGATGTGGGGAGAGGAAGAGAGAGGGAGAGGAGGGAGACGGGGGAGAGGGGGAGAGGCAGTGGTGACCCGCGGGGCCCGGCCCTTGCTGCTCTGCCTGGGCCTGCTGACTTAAAGGAATTTGTGTTTTTGCTTTTTTTTCCAGAAAGAGCTCTAGCTCCACACATGTTTCCACTTAATACCAGAGCCCTGCCCCCACCCCCCTCAGGACGTGCTCTCTAAATAATTGCAGTAAAACAAACCTTTCTCTGCAAACCATTTTCTCCCCACCCCCTCAGCAGCAGCCATCCCAAGCAGGAGTGCCAGGGACGTCCAGGGACAGAGTTGGGGGGCTTGCAGGCCATGTTCATTCAGGCTTTGGGGGGTGCTGGGGATGCCAGATGTGGCTGTGAGAGCTACCCCTCTGCCCCGTCCCTGCCCTCCCTGGGGTGGGGGGTCTGGGGTACAGGGCCTGGGCTCTTTGAGGGGCCTGAGGATGGAGGCCCTGTGCCCCTGAGGAGGGCAGACTCTGGACAGGCCCCTTGTCCCTGCACGGCAGCCCCCAGGCCTTTGGGGTGTGACTGTAAGAGCCTGCCCCCAGGAAGGACCCCAGGCTCCGGGCTTGGCCCCTGCTGGGAGCCTCCCCCAGAGAAACCCCACCGACTCTCTTTCCCCTGCCCAGAACCTGACCAACCAACATCGCTGTCTGCCCCATAAGCCATAGCACATGTGCGCCTTCAGAATAAACAGGCCTTCCTTGGACCCTGGCTATCTCTGTCCTTCCTGAGCCTTCATTTTGGGGGTTGGAGGGGTCATGGTCTGGGCAGGGAGGTGGCAGCCTGCAGCTCCCCAAGTCTCAGCTGCTGGAAACAGTCCCATTCCTAAGCCTCCCCTCCCCAAATCCATACACTAGCCCCTCAGCTCCTGCTCCCTCTTGCTTATCTCTCCAGTGTACTTGGGACCCCTCTGCTTCGGAACCCTGCCCTCTCACCAGCACCTCCCTGTGAAGCCTTCTGGGCCCCTGGCCCCCCAGCAGGTACACGCAGGTCAGGCCCTGTGCCCTGTGGTGCCCTTCCTGGGCCTGCTGGTGTCCCTCTGAGACCAGGTGGCTCTGTAAACACTGGGGGTGGGGCCCTCGTGGCAGAGGCTGGGGCTCTCAGGGTGCACAAGTTCAGGAAGGGGCGTGTGTTTCCAGGTCCCCAGCCAGCTGCTGCGGGAGGCAGCCTGGGCTTCCAGCGTCCCCAGCGGGCTTCCAGACAGCTGGCTGCAACTGGCTCCCACGACCCCCCCGCCACCCCTGTCCCCCAGCACTCAGCCCAGATGGTCACGTCCTGGCCTCCCAGGCAGCCCTGTTCCAGACACACGTGAGCACGGGTGCAGACACAGCTCATGCATGTGCTTTCCAGCATGCCGCCTCCCACCCCCCGGGGTAGAAATCAGCCAGACCCTAACTACAAACAGCCCCCAAACTTTATTATAAACAGGCTATGGCTCTCCAGCAAAGGCACAAAGAGGCCAGAGTGGTGCCGGGCAGAGGCCCCAGGCCCTCAGATTCCGCGTGCAGCTGGGCACAGGGCCCGGTTGAGGCAGGCCTGGCAGCGCGGGTGGAGGGGCAGGCAAGTCTGCTGGCCAAAGCCCACCAGCAGTCCATTGATCTCGCTCCACAGCTCCCTGTGGGGGTGGGAGCCATCAGTGTGGAGGGAGGGTGGGAGGGAGGGGAGCCCGCCCTGCCCCACCCCCACCCCGCACACCTGGGCAGCCACTCTTCCAGTGCCCTGCGGGTCTCCTCCGGGGACTTGGTTGCCTTCCTGGTCCATCTGAGTCGGTTTACAATTCTGTGCACGTGTGTGTCCACTGCTGTTGGAGACGGGGCAGGGTGAACACGGGGCAGGCTCACCGGGCCAGATTGCCCCATCCCTGCCACAGCTCCCAGTGCGGGTTGGTGGGGGGCTGAGTCTGAAGCCTGAGTCCCCCTACACACCTCCCCAACCCCCTCCGGCCTCTGAGGAGGACCCAGAACTGCGCAGGCCTGAGAGAGAGTCACATGGGCCATCCCTGCTGCTAGGCAGGGGCTGGAGTCAGATCCAGAGGACTTGGGCCTTTTTCCTGGGGTGCAGGCAGCAGTGCCTCCTGGCCCAGGCACCGGCCATAGGTGCTAGGCTGGGTGGCAGCAGCTTGACCTAGTGGGCTGGCATGAAGTCACTGCCTGCAGAGCCAGCACCTGCCACTGCACCATCAGGGACGGAGAGGGGAGCGCGGCCAGGCCAGCTGCAGCTGTTGTGCACCTGGCCGCAGCCCCAGCTCCCCCTGGCTGGCCACCCTGGGGCTTGGCCTGGGCACCTGCTCACCGAGGCCCCCTCCCCGAGCCAGATGCAGCCCCTGCCTCCTCCTCCTCCTATGTGTCTGCCGAAGAGAAAGCGAGTTCCTGCACTGGCCCACTTCCCCTGCTGCTGGCTGCCTGGAAAAAGGCTCGGGCCCACCCCAAACAGCGATAAGAGGGGCACAGGGAGAGTACGCAGATGGAGAAGCCACACCCTTGGGTCAGCACCAAGCCTCAGTTTCTTTTTCTGTAACACGTAGGTGACTGTGCCCTGAAGTTACCCAGAAGCCCAGCCCAGGGCCACACCATACTTGTGGGCCGGTCCAGCAGGGCTCTGCACACCTGTGCCTCTGATGGGAGCAACTACTTCCCCTGCTTTGTGGCCCAGCTCAGAGAAGCCAAGTGCCTTGCCCAGGGTCACCCAGCTGGGAGGGCAGAGCTGGGATCGGCTGCTGTATCCCATGGCTCTGGCTCTCTACTCGAGGGGGCTTCTTCTCTCAGGAAACCCCTTGGGAAGTGGGGCCCACCATCCCTAGGATCTCCCTGCAGGTGGCCTGGCCCACAGACAACCAGATAGGGCAGCATTCCCACACTCCTGACTGCTGCAACCAGCTGTGGGCGGGGGCCCTTCCCCCACAGACCTGCCAGACCACTCCTAGACACGGGCAGCCGAGGACAGCCGCCCAGATAAGCTCAAGTATCTGCTGAGAGGCTGGCAGACGCAGGAGCCCAGTGAGGGAGGCTCTGCCCGGGCCCCGCCTGGCCTGGCTCCCGCTTTTCAGGGCTTCTGGGATCCAACCTCATCAGGTAGCCAGAGCCCTCCTCCTCTGGTGGGCACTGCAGGGGAGGGGTCCCTACCCCAGGGGGCAGGCTTCACAAGCCTCGGAAGCCCTGGGGGGATCCCCACCACCTCTCCTGGCTCCTCTGCATGAGTCCCTGAGAAGCACCACGGTGGGAGCACACAAGCAGGTCATGGGTCAAGCCCTGGTTTCCGGGCTGGCTGGGCCTGCGCTGTGCAGCCTCAGAAGCCCCCACTCGCTGGGCAAAGATCTGAGGAAGCAGTCCCACCCCGACCCAGGGGTCTGTCTCCACTCAGAGCTCCTCCAATGCAAGAATGCAACACAAGGACCCAGGATAGGGATTCCAGGAAGGGCCCCCCCAGCCGCTTCCTCATCCCCCCCGGGTCCCCATGTCTGCACTGCACTTGCCCCCTCTGCCCACGCTCATTCCAGAGCCTTGTGCTCTGGCCCTCTTCCCCAGCTCACGGCTTTGCAGATGCTATTCCTTCTGCCCGAAATGCACTTCCTCCTCTTGGCCTGGCCAGCCCACCTCACCCTTCAGCTCTTGGCTGAATTAACACTCCCTCAGGAAGTCCTCCCAAATGCCCCAGACCAGGCCAACTCCAAAGGTGCCCTGCATGCCCCCATGAGTGTTTCTACCCCAGTGTCTCTCTCCTTCATGCAGCACAGACCCAAGTCCATCTAGGGCCTCTCCCAGAGGCCAGCATGCTATAGGAGCTCCTCAGCAAACAGGAACTCCTCCTGCTAGTACGGGTGGGGTGGGCCTAGCTCTGGGCTGGGAACACCTTTCTGACCCTTTGGGCTGAGTTGTGAATGAGGAGACCTGAGCTGGGGTCACTGGTCACAAGGATGGGGGAACCTCAATGGCAGCCAGCAAGCCTGGAGCCGGCCACTCCTGCCTTGTGGGCGCATGCCACTCACCAATGCCTGACACAGTGCCCCAGGCCACTGCCATGGCCAAATGTGCCATCTTGGGCCCGACGCCTGGCAGTGCCACCAGCTCTTCCAAGGAGGCTGGGATGTCCTCATCATAGCACTGCTGCAGGATAGCACTGGTCTGCTTGATGTACTTCACCTTGTTCTGAAAGATTGGGGGGGTCAGTGCTGGAGGTTAGGAGTATAGCCCGACCTGGGAAGACAAGGCCCAGAGGAAACCCACAGGTGCCCAGAGCTACCCACCAGCTGTCCAGGACACACTCAGAGGCACCTGCTTGCCTCTGTCCCCCCAGGAGGTGGGAACAAGCCAAGGGCAGGAGAGCCCAAGGAAGGCCCAATGCAGGCCTAGACCCTGCCTCCCACTTGCCTGGGGCCAATGACAAGCGCATGGGGTCCAGCTTGAGTCTCCCTGCCCCATCATTCCCTACCAGAGACCAGGCAGGCTAAGCAGGACCAGCTAAGCCAGAAGCTGGGCTCAATAGCACCTGGGCCTTCAGGAAGGAAAGCTGGAGCCTGGGGCTCCCCCACCAGCCGCCAGGCCAGCCAGGCGGTTCCCATCCTGTGCCTGAGTGGACAGGGCTATTTAAAACCCATCTGATGAACTGCAGCCCACGCCAGTGCCAAGGGGAAGTAGCCCCACCCACCCGGCTGCCTTCAACAGACCCGCCCACCCACCACCCTGTACTCTGTGGCCTGTTGGGGCTCTAGAGGGGAGGGGTTGTGCACTCCAGCGAGGCTTGGAGTAAACAAAGGGATAGATGGGTGGGCAGCCTTAGTGAGGAAGAGAAGGGCCAGGCGTATGGGAAGGGAGGTGGAGGAAGGAAGGGGTGGGCTGCAAACAGGAAAGGCCAAGGAGCTCCAGTGCCTGGACTTGAGGCTCCATGGCCAGGCCCCCGTGGGCTGGTCAGAGCGGCAGGGGCGGGGCGGTGCTCCAGTGGGAACTCATAGCCAGGCCCCCATGGCTAGGGACGCCTGCCCTGGCCTCCCACACCCCACAGCCCACTTAGTCTGACATCTTTCGCAGGCCAGCGGCAACCCCAGCCCCACCTGCCATGGGCTGGGCTCACCCTCCAGAAGCCCACAGGATAGATGAGCATGCCCAGCGTGCTGTCATCCATCTGCAGGATGCTGTCCACCGTCAGGCCCCGGGCCCGCAGCCGCTGCATGGCGCCTGCTGTCACCTGGTCCTTGGTCTGGCTGGAGAGCATCAGTGACAGCAACACCTGGTACCTCCGCACCTGCTTGCACAGTGACAGGCACCAGGGTCGGGGGGGGGTCCTGGGTGCTCAGCCCAGCCAAGCCCTTTACTCATCTGCACGTGTCACCCCAGGCAGTGCATGGGATATCTGCCTCTTATCCGCCCAGGCCAAGGGTGTGTGTGTGGTGTATTTTCCACTTAAGTGGAAAATAGCAGCACCTGCTTTGCAAGATCACTGTGAGGCTTAAAGAATTATCACTGCATTCAGAATTGCACCTGGCATGACGTCAGTGCTCAACAGCCCTTGGTTGCTCTTGTTATCGTTATTGCTTTGCAAAGGATGCTGCTGCCCACTTTACAGACAAGAAAACTGAGGCCCGTCACCGGGTAGCAGAGCTGGGATTGGAATCAGGTTAGTCTTAGGACCAGGCTCTGGGCCAGTGAAGTGTAAGGAACTCCCTCTCTCTCTCAGCAAACGTTACTGAACACCCATGATGTGCCAGCTGTCCCCTGCTAAAGGCCTGAGAGGAAGCAAGTGTCTTGTTCAGAAGGGGGTCACCAGCAGATGGGTGCCCGCCTACCTTTGGGGGTGCGCTGAGGTCATAGCAGTGCTCAGCCCCCAGCTGGTCCACGGGCGCGTCCTTTCCACTCCTCATGGTCCGGATGTTCTCCAGCTGCTGCCGCCAGTCCTGAGGCTCCCAGGCTGGCGACTGGAGATGCTCGACCCCCTCTCCTTTCTCACCTTCTGAGGCCTCGTAGGCCACATTCAGTCTTTGAGCCTTCCGTTGACGCTTCACAGGGCTGTAGCTTTTCCTACCTTCTGCAAAAAGTACCACTTGGTCCCTTCAGTGAAGGCTACAGGTAAGGAAAAGGTGTGGGTGCTGCCCTACCTGCTATCTCATCCTACATCATTTATTCAACAACCACCCATCACCTACTACAACTGCGGGTGCTCTGGCCTCTGCAGCATGTGCTCCGGACCAGGTCAGCCTTTCTCATGCCGTTGGCCTTCTGACCAAATCCACTTTAGCACATGACGACTCTAAGTAACAGCCTCCACCATGGTGCCCCCAATCTAGTCTCGACACTGTCAGAGAGAACTTTCTAAAATCTGAATTGAGGGGCTTCCCTGGTGGCACAGTGGTTGAGAATCTGCCTGCCGATGCAGGGGACATGGGTTCGAGCCCTGGTCTGGGAAGATCCCACATGCCACGGAGCAACTGGGCCCGTGAGCCACAACTACTGAGCCTGTGCGTCTGGAGCCTGTGCTCTGCAACAAGAGTGGCCACGATAGTGAGAGGCCCGCGCACCGCGATGAAGAGTGGCCCCCGCTTGCCGCAACTGCAGAAAGCTCTCGCACAGAAACGAAGACACAACACAGCCAAAAATAAATAAATAAATAAATAAAAATTAAAAATGAATATCTGCTAAAAAAAAATCTGAATTGAGTTGTGTCACTTCCTGTTTAAAACTCCAAACTCTTTCCTGGCATCAGAGCTCCTGCCTACCTGGCTGGCATTATCGCGTGCCTGTTCCCCCAGCCATGCTTCTGCCCAGTGTGTCATTTTGTCTGGACTACCCCTGGGGTCTTTGGGTGTCTGTGAGAATCCTCCTCTGGACAATCCTGCAGACGTCCAGGCAGGACAAGTGGCAGGGGCCCTGTCATTCTCGCCCACGCTGAATCTCAAGTTAGGTCCCTAATAAGGACGTATGTAGGTCCCTAATAACGACGTAAACGTAAGGAAAGCCACGCCGTTTCCCATTTTCTCTCAGAGGCACCCTCTAGCAGGGGGAGAAAACTGGCTGGGACAGTCCTTGCACCGGGCCTCTGAGCTGGAAGCAACTAAGAGGACAGGGCCGGTTTGCCTCGCAATCAGCCTGGCACAAGTGGAGTACCCTAGGGCATGCTAGTGGGACCGGGAGAACTTTCTTGAACAGGACGAAGGTGGGGGAGGTGGGAACGCCTGAACCCAGCCCCTGTCTCCTGGGAAAGAGCTTAGGGCGGGAACTCAGGGCCCCAGCCCCCAGTCTCTTGCAGGCCCCCCCCCACCCCGCCTCTCTCCCTGTGCCCCCGCGCGGGCGCGGCGCTACCTGCAGCCGCCTCTTCTCTCCGGAGCGGCGCGGCCTTCTCCCTACTTCCCTGCTGACCGGCCCCGGGTCCCCGGCTCCGGCTGCGGGTCACCATCCTCACGCCCACCGCATTCATGCCGGATTCCTGCGGACTACACGTCCCGGCGGCCCCCGGGACCCCGTCACGTGACTAGCACTCGCCCTGCCTTTCCTCCAGAGGGCGGCCCTCGGCGCCCTCTCGCTGCCGGAAGTGCGGGTCGCGCTTCCGGCGGCGGCTTGTGGCCGGGGGTGTGCTCGATTCTCGGCGCTGGGGCTGACCCGCTCGCTGCGGGCGCGGGGAGTGGTGAGTGGCTCGAGGTGTCCTGACCGCCGACTCCGACGGGGCAACTGAGGAGGCTGCCTCTCCAGGCCTGCTCGGCACTGAGGCCGTGGGGGGCGGACCCCCGCAGTGTCAGGCCCGGCTCTCAGGCGCGCTCTCCGCAGCCTGACTCTGGAGCTCCAAGCATTCCTTGGTTTTAAGTCATGGCGGGTGCGAGGGGGTCCCTGCTCCCGGCGTCCCCCGACAGTCCTCCTCCACACGGGGAGAAGAGAGATGGCAAACGTCAGGGCTCCCTGGACCCCGCGGCGGCCGCCCCCTGGCCCCAGTTCCCCTCCCTCACTCCATGCACTGAGGCGGGCGGACGGCCTGGCGTTTTCCAGGTTTATTTCTGGCCGGGACTGCGCCGGCCTGTGGTGGAGTTTTCTCGGGGGCTGTGGGAGGGAAGAAAGGTCGTGCCCACCGGAGACCTAGGGTTCACGGGCGGCCCGTGATCCGCGGCGGGGCAGGTGGGTGGAGCCGTCCCTGAGATCTCTGCCTGATTGTCGGCACAGAGGAGTCCTCTGATGCGTCCCTGCCCAGCATGGCCAAGCCAGCAAGCAAAGATTCAGGCTTGAAGGAGAAGTTCAAGATTCTATTGGGACTGGGAACTCCAAGGCCAAATCCCAGGTCTGCAGAGGGCAAACAGACGGAGTTTATCATCACGGCAGAAATCCTGAGAGTGAGTGAGCTGCCTGGGTCTTCTCTGCTAGCTTAGTGGGAGGTGCAGGGAAGGCTGAGTTTGGTCTGTCACCAGGTTCTGTGGGAGGTGGGCTGCTGGTGACCGTCTGTGGGGCTGCTGTCCCCAGTACCATGGTGACCTATGTGTCTTTTCTCTGGAAATTCAGGAAGTCAGGATCTTGGCGACTTGGTCCAGCACACTTGAGTTAGTATTCACATGTTGATGCAAGAAAACCTGTTTTACTAGATGATCTAAAGGCCATGATCTCCACAGGTGATTAGGGTCATGGCCAGGGGTAACTGGTAATGTGTGAGTTTCTGGGAGAAGTAAGGTTTCACTTTTTGTCTTTTTTGTCTGTGTTGGAATCTCACAGACGTGCCTACTCAGTGCTTTACCCATAAATAATGTTGAATGTTTGCACTTGTAAAGTTTCCCATTCAGAAACAACCAAAATGCTCATCGACTAAGGTTTAAACAAAATGTGATGCCTTCATACGATGGAGTAGTATTTGCCATAAAGAGGAGTGAAGCCCTGATAACATGCAACAGCATGGATGAACCTTGAAAACATTATACTAAGGGAAAGAAGCCAATCACAAAAGCCCACATAATGTATGATTCCATATATATGAAATGTCCAGAATAAGCAAATCCATAGAGACAAAGTAGATTAGCCTTTGCCAGGGCTTGTGGGGAGGAGGGAATGGGGAGTGAAGCTTCTTTTTGAGGTGCTGAAAATGTTCTGGAATTAGTGGACCTGGTTGCAAGCACTGTGAATATGGTAAAAACTGGATTATACAGTTTAAAGTCGTTACAGTGGTGAATTTTATCATATGTGAATTTTATTTTAATAAAAAAGTGCAGCTATGGAAGAAAAAAAAATTGTTCTTACTGCCCTAAGGTGGACTAGTCAACTCTGGTGATTCTTGGTTTCAGAAGGTTCTGCTGTGGGTCTCCAGCATGGGAAAGGCAGGGCAGTTCCTAGAGTGCTCTGTGATTGGCAGGTAAGGAGACCTGGTGTCGGAGCACTGGCCTTCTTTCATCTCTCCAGGAGCTGAGTGTTGAATGTGGCCTCAACAATCGCATCCGGGTGATAGGGCAGATCTGTGAGGTTGCCAAAACGAAGAAATTTGAAGAGGTAGGTGTGTCTTGGTTGGGTGCTTGGAGAGATTCATGTGAGCTGCATTAAAGCCTGATTTGGCTCTTTTTAGGCGCAGGGTTGACAGCTGACTTCACTAATGAACTGATATGCACCATTTGAGGGAAATTTAGTCTTCATCTTAGGGATGAGGAAGCTTCTGGAAATGTCCTGAGCATAACCCTGAGAGGCCAGTCACATGTGGAGGTGGGGAGCAAGGGGATTAGTATCTTTTAGCAGATCCAGAAGCGGTTTTGTGGTGCTTACAGAAATGCACGCTCGCTTGTCCTCTCACGTTACAGATTCGCAGGAAGGAAAAATAGGGGAACGTCAGGAGAGCATGCGGTTTCACAGAGAACAAGCCCAGGCACACCAGTCTCTGTCTTTCTGGGAGAGATGTTTGGGTGGTATTAAGCAGCCTCACAGACGTAGGAGTATTTTGGGCAGATACTTCCAGGCTCTCTCCTGATGTCCTGTGGACAGAGTGGGAAGCTGCCTGCCGTTAGAGTTCCTCAAGGGCTCTGCTCTCGCCTCAACCCACTTTTGTGTGAGTGACACAGGAGGAGACGTGGGTCTCATACCTGGCGGGTTCAGATTTGCTCAGGGGGGAGGAACCACTACGTCCTCTGCAGGTCATCTGAAACGTGCAGGCTGCACATGACCAGGGTTAAATGTGAGGATAGGCATCTATGTTCTTAAAGTTGTCTGTGTACAATAAGTATGGAAAGGGGAGCCATGTGAGAGCTGCCGTCAAGTGAATAGACAGATAGGCCTAAGAGGCTGGAGTAGTCCATGGGCTCAGTGTCTGTGTGCTCTTGTGGCTTAGGTTGCATCGATAGGAGTATTGTGAATGGGACAAAGGAAGTAAAACTTCCAGTGTATTCCAGGGTATGACCGAATAATGTTGGTCAGACAACATTGAAACAACATTTTAGTTCCCCTCTTAAGAGGAGTGAGCCCGGAAAAGGGTAAGTGGCCTGGAAACTCTGGCTGGAGGGAGTCAGGGATGGTTAACGTGGAAAAGGGAAGCTGACATAAGAGAGACTGATTCTGGAGCTGAGGGGAAAGCACCCAGCAGCTCCCTCGTGGGCTGGGTGGACTTAGGAGGCAGATTCCAGAAGCCTGAACAGAATTCTTAGCAAGTCAAGCCAGGCAGCAGAGTCGGGGTTGGGGTGGGATACTGAGTGGCCTGAAGCTCAGATCCAGAGCATGGGATTTCTGGGTCAGACTGCAGGCCCGGGAACCACTGTGGTACTTCTGGTTCTGAGACTCTTCCAGTGGCTTTTTCCATGGAGCCTGAGCAAGCTCTCAGAGACTCCCTGATGATCTCTGGGGGCAGCCAGGACGGCCTCCCTGGCCTTCCTGCTCTCCTCCCTCCCCTCAGACTATGGCCTGGTGAGGGATAAAGGGACCTGTGAGGGTTCGAAGTAGCTTGGAGCTGTTCCCCTTGTCAGGCTCGTGGTCGCTGTGGGCTGTGACAGGTACATGAGGGCTTTAGAAGAGTGAGTTCTAAGTCAAAAGACCACGTTGTTCTGTCTGTCCTTTGCCCATGGAACTGTCCCTCAAGTTGAGGGGCCAGCACACCAATCCTTGTCCCCTCTTTGCCGGGCAGCATGCGGTGGAAGCACTCTGGAAGGCTGTCTCGGACTTGCTGCAGCCAGAGCGGCCGCCAGAGGCCCGGCACGCGGTGCTGGCTCTGCTGAAGGCCATTGTGCAGGGGCAGGTAAGAGGTGGCCGCTCTGTGCCTGGGGGGAGCTGGGGCGGGCCACACTCGGACCCTCGTCTTTGGCGAGAGCACCAGGCACAGGTTCACTGGTTCCCAGGGGCCCTGCAGCTGGACTGCCCGAGTGGGCGTGCTGGTGTCACCTCTAGTATCTGCGTGACCCTGGGCAAGTCACTGGAGCCCCCTGAGCCTCCACTTCCTCTCCTCTAAAGTGGGGATGCTTGTCATTCCCTTTTTTCTGGGACATTCTGGGGAGTAAATGAGGCAGTTCACCCAAAATGATGAGAATGGCTCCTCGCACGAGTGAGCTGTTGTTTTCTTGCTCTCACTGACCTCCTGCCCCTCACCATGGGCTCCTGCCCCTTGCTCACCGTTCTCCTGCCATG